ACAATTATAAAGAAAACATTTAGGTGTTAACAAACAAGAATTTATTAACGAAACTGCTGATGTCTTTCCAAAACGTGTGTGTGAAAGCCGAGTAAATTTGCAGTTATGTGACATCATCTGCAGTCCAAGGACCCCGAGCCGATCCTACACCTGAGCAGATCCTGTACCGACACCGGCCATTACTTTTGGCATTGATATGTTTAAAATTTTTCGAGTTATTAAGCTTTTTCTGCGAAAAATTTCCCATTGAAATGAATGGGATTGGTCAATTTTCAGCAAATTCCTATCACTTTTTTTTACTTAAAGCTCTATTTGGTTCCTTTTAACTTAGAGACTTCTTTCAAAGTTTAACAAACTCACAAGACTTTCCTGTTTAACATATTAAAGAGGCTTTTTGATATCTTTTACGGTTTTTCTAAAATCGCAGGTAGAAGTTGAGGTACGACTTGAAATTTTCAGAAAAATTCACAAAAGTTATAATGGGGAAAGATAGGAGCAGTGACCCTCCCTTGCTCCATTTCTGGCGTTGTCCCAAGAGAACCGTAGGTCCGATTGAAATGAGACACATGCTGGCTTACAGCTAACGAATATACCTTCGTTTTGAGCTATAATTCATGACTGTACTCCAAACATTGTGGTTGTACGGTTCATTTGTTTGAGAAAATTCAAATAAAAAAAATGTTTCCCACCACTCTAAACTGAAAATTCCGCACTCTAACTTTTGAACTTCACATCTTCTGTGAACAACTCTTTACTACCCCCAGACCGTGTGGACTACCAAAACATATTATAACTCAAAAAGTAGGAATTTTTGTCAGCTTTTCAGAATGGGTTTCATTTTATCTGTAAGTGTTACCGTTCTTTCGCTACAAGCCTCAGAAAGAGGAGGGACCAGACGCGTTGCAAGATTTTCAAAAGTGTGGGGGATGTTGTCTGTGCCTAAAATAAGTTGATGTTATTCATCTTGTTAGTTTAATTTCCATAACAGCTGAGCAGGTGCGAATTTTAGACGCGTCACGCATGTCTCCGTTTTAAACATGTTTAAACTGTTCAGAATACAAATCCAGGCTCTGTCTCGTTAGATTGGTGTAACTAAAAATTGTACTGAATGAAACTTTACATTAAACCATGTTGAAAAGAAAAGGATCCGATTAAATTGTTTCCCCCTCATTTACAGTCAGTACAGCACAGTGCGCGTGGCTCTGGGGTTAATCAAGTTCAATTGTTTCTCTTTGAAACAATCTTCACAAGAAGGCAAAACAGTTAAATGGCAGGTTACAGATATTTCCATTTGACTGTTTATTTTGATGGATAAACTAAAGGATGTTGGTTGTTTTGAAAGAATTACCCCGACGCACACTGATGCGCACACAGATGAGCTGACATTTTAATCGTTATGCACTAATCAATCAAGAAATGATTCCCATCAGAACATTAGAGCTTTATACTGGACACTGTGCTCAGCGTGGCTCGGAGCGCCCACGGTGGACAGTGAGCTGAAGATCTGTAGGGGTTTGCAGTGCAGAACCACGGCGCATGCGGTAAGATTCCCTCCCACTGAAACGGTCTGGAAACCCGGTCTCTCTGAGGGATGTGCCACTTGGAAAAATGTTCTCAGATTATGAAACTTTGGCTGAGTAGCGCTTGTTCCCGTCTCTAATATGGAGACGCATTACGCATCCAGTCTGAGGCAGAATAGCCTCTTCAGCTCAGAAACACCTGTAGAGACATTTGATCACGCACAAAGTTTATGTGGAGCAGAAGCGGTCGGGCCACGGCAGGTGAAACGTTCCTAGCCTACATGAAGTGAAATTGTTTAATTGTAACATTAATGTGTTACTGGACATGCTGGTCTGGTTGGTTAGACCAGTGTTTGAAGTGGAAAACACACACACACACACACGCACCAATTAAAATAATGCTGATAGCATGGACTAGAAGACAGGTGATGGTTTACGTATTTAAATGATGATCAGGCTGCTGTAAAATGTAATTCCATCCACATCCGGAGAGAATTATCCTCTATTCTGTCTTTATTTGCTCTGCTCTTGTCTGGGCTGACGTAGCTGATGGTGCGCGCGGCGCGCCTAGCGGCTGTGATGCACATTTTACACATTTGGAGAGGTGGGCTGGATGCTTTGCTTTTACTGGAAGATGGATTTTTTTTTTTTTTCCAAAAATGTCAGATTTTGCCCCATGAATAACTGTTAAAACTACTGGTGTGCATGTACCCTTATGAAAGAGTCCTACGTTGAGAGGCAAATATTAGAAGTGCAGGTTCTGGTGCCTATAAATGAAAAATGAATGAAAATTAAATTGGGAGTTTTTACTTCATATTTTAGAAATGAAAATGACGGGGGAAAAAATTTCGACCTCTTTTTAAACTGAATTTTCTAGCACGACCTGCCTGCTTCGCTTAAGTCACTGCTTATTAAGGCCCGTCCAAAATTACCGAGACCCACCCAAAAATGTAAACCTGGCACCACGCCTGTTATAAACC